ATATCTCATATACTGGTCATAGCTTGATTTTCTAATAAAAACACGAAAGATACAAGTCAAGGAAATACACATGAACCAACAGAATCACATGAACTCCTAAGTAGTGATACCGTTGACGTCTTCAGTGTCATTGCCTTTGCTATAGACGCATCAGCCGCCGAGCGAGTCCACATTCATTAAAAATGTCATAATCTGGATTAAGAAAATTTCATTGAAGATACAGATCAGATATACAACGGTTGGGATAAAACATCTCGTGTATAAAAATGACATTTGCATGTTCATGATGTTATATGGTCTTACGTTTCAGTCTGACATATGTCAGCTGGATAAGGTTATCTGTTAGGGATATAAGAACTTTCTCTGATTTTCATGGTTCATTTGTCAATATTTTTCAAGGTTCGTCGGTGATCGTTAAGGTTTCGTGATAAGGCCGTTTTCAGCTACTTAGAACTATAGTTCTATATAACTTAAGTCTGCATGTGTAGAATATTGGAAAGATGTTCATGTCCTTCTGCTATCGTCCAATTGACATTGACATCACTTTCATGGTTTATTGGTCTGCGCTAACTTTTCACATGTTTCATGATTATGGTCGTTTCTTAGATAAAGCAATTCATAGGTCAACAGTATTTAGTGTATTGAACAAAAGAACTGCAAGTTGTATGTGTCCGTTTAAAAAGATTTATATGACCAACTTTTTCAAGGATAATTGATAATGTAATAATTAGGTAATCAAGGTATTAAGACCGCGATCATATAGACGTTAAACATACATTCAATCGTTATAAGTTAAGCAGTCTAGATATGTCAGAGTGTGCAATCTTGTTGACATGTTAAATAAGAAGCTTTCGAGCTGGCAGCTTTTTACAGTTATTTAGATGATCAAGTACATATTTGCAAATATTGATGTGTGTTTAAAATCACGTGGTATTGATATAGGGAGGACATAATATCTTTGTTTTGTTCTTTATAGCCAAATATCAAACATTATGTTTTTTTTTCTCATACATACATTAAACCTGAAAGTTGTAAATGCATACTTTCAACGTGTAACTCTTGCAAGTACCTTTAGAGCTTTGATTATTGGACATAGGTTCATAACAATTAATATCTTTCGTGAGTTTTACATATTTTCCGTTATATGTGAAGCGTAGTCATTTAACTATAGACGTCAGGAACAGGGACTGATTACCACTAGCCGATAAAAATTCAATCATTTCATTACAGCTAGAATAGGGTTTAATTGAAAAATCGCTATTATAATTCATTGATTTTTACTCTCGCAGTCATATTATAGACACTAGTTTAGTCGTCATATCTGGATTTATATCGGTTGCGACTTATTCTTGATTGTTACATTTTGACTGAGTGTGGATGGGTGATGAATGCATAACAGGTAACACTTACCCTTTTGATGTAGCCGGTTTCCATCCTGTCGGATGTTTTGCAATTCCCGAAGATTTTGTTCAAATTAAACTTCGTTGAAGTCAGATGAAACTTTAAATTCAAATAAAAAGATGAAAATGTTAGATAAGTCATCAGTGGCTTAGTTGTACTATAGGACAAGTGTATGTAAACTTTCTTGTAAAATAATATCCTTTATATTATCAAAATCTTCAAAAATTTACTACTATTGAATGGTTGTTTTCCTTAACTACGAGACATTGTGCGAGGGATTGGAGGAGGGGGCGTTGACCGTTATGAAAAAAATGTAAAACAAAAAACAAAACGTGCGCTGAAAGTTAAATAGTAATAATGGATTCTTAAAGAACAAATCAAAATACACCAATTCATTCAACAACTGTTTAGATAACTAATTGGAACGTATGGAAAATATTAGAAAAAATATCAATGCTTTATCAATTCACGTATTGTCCCTGTGCTTCACATGCTCTATGTTGATTGTTTATCAATGTCACAATCCGGTAAACTTCAGCAACATACTCGATAGGTAATTATCTTGCGATTACCAATTACTGAATGAAAAATTATTTGTCAATAATACGTTATCGATTCGCAGTAAATGTAAGAAATATAAAAACAAACCAACAGCGTTCATACAGGACGAGGTTTAGTATATATGCATGCATTGGTTCAACAATGTCGATAAAATTATAACAAAATTAAAATCGTTTCGTATGATTTTAACTAATGCGAATGGCTTGCTGTTTGAAAAATTAGGTCTTGAACTCATATATTGTAATACCATGTAATAAATTGTCTTTTTTTGTCATAAACTATATACAAATCACTGTTCCTGCAGGTTTTATCAAAGATTTAAAGCTCTTGATTGATAATATGATTGATCATTATTATGATGAGAATAATATCGTCCATTTATTTTAACTTCAAACTATAGTAGCTACGCACCTAGTAGTGCAGATTCTTTTTACTATATAATTATTCATTTTCAAACATGGAAAAACCTTCCAGAAGGAAGATAAAATAATTTGACAGATTAATTGGCATATTAAACAATAATAACTGATACCTCGCTTAAGAACTTACGGTTGGTCTTTATGCCCCCATCGAAGTGGAGGGTCCATTAAGTTTTATCCTTGTCCGTCTGTACGTTCGTCCGTTCATCTCTACGTCCAATTTTGGTTTCCGTTCTCAAACTTTATTTTGTCTCATTCAAATGCTATGAAACGTATACACAATGCTTATTACCACAAAATACAGAACAAGTTTGGATTTGGGTGGTATCACTTGTACCTATCTATAGTTATGCACTTTAAAAATGGAAAAAATTGCTGATTTTTTTTCATTTCCGTTCTACAATGTAAGTTTGCCTTAAGCAAATGTTATGAATCTTACACACAATGGTTAATATCACAAAACACAGATGAAGATTGAATTTTGGTGGAGTCACTTTTACCATTCTTTATGTCCCTTTATAACGTTATATCAAAGCAGGGGTATCATATGTGTCCCATGGTCACATTCCCCATTTATTGTAGTTTAATTAACATGTTGAATGTATTATTGAAAAGAACATCTTCTAATTAAAACTAATAACAACAGTCAATATTGCCTATTTTACAAGAAAACTCTTAACTACTAAATGACAAAAACTGAAAATATAAATTTCGGCAAAACAGACGTTTAAATATTGCTAAATCTTTCTTCCCTTGTTAAAACCGCAACGTTACTCTAACCGCATTCTTTGTCGTTAACATTTCAGACTTTGTACAATTTGCTAGAATATGTTCTAATGACAAATGAATAGAGCGAGCTTTAGGATGGCATTACATTGCATCAACACAAAGGGTTACATATAACAGCTAGGACTTTCAATACTTGCAAATCGTTTAAAAGATATCGTCAGCCTACTGCAAATATAAAGTTTCTCTTGAAAAATAATGGTTGGTGGTTATTCTAATCCTATCTTCAAATGACAAATAGAATTAAAATATTGAACAACGTATTTCCAAAACAAGACTAGTACGGACTACTACGTGACATACTGTCTATCTCAGTTATTCCATCGATTGTCTAGTGATTTTAAGTCATTTAAACGCATTAGCTGAAAATATACTGACAAGGCCTTGTTAAAAAACATAAAGATGAAAAGACAAACAACAGTATACAATCCTAACATAGAAAACTAAAGACTGAGCAACACAAACCCAACCAGAAACTAAAGACTGAGCAACACAAACCCAACCAGAAACTAAAGACTGAGCAACACAAACCCAACCAGAAACCGAGGCTGATTTAAGATGCTCCGAAAATTTGCAAAGGTTCATATGTTACATTTCGTAAATATTTCTTTACAGTGTCCAGTACAAGTTTTTGTTTTATCTATTTTATACTATGGTATACTTCAGAAAGCATGCTATGATTCTTGAAATTATATACCATATTCTTGGACAAAATGCTCAGCAAAGACCTTATCAAATTAGAATAAGTAGTTATAAAGTTACTTCACATGTAATCAGATCCAAGAACTTACAAACAGCTCGCTTAACATCCAGAATAAACAGCGATTGTCGAAATATTTCACGAAAAGAAAACGGTTAAAGCCATTTTATGATTATAGATAAGGTTTTCTCATTTGAATAAGGCATGTCATAACTTTATTTTTTTTTTTTTATTTAATCAGACAGCCATGATTATGTTGGATATTTTGTTGATTTACCGAACAGACTGTTACCACACTAACATCAGATAAATAAGAAAAATCACCCAGAAAACAACAGGTGTCTGCTCTACTGTAAAGATCAGGGATACAAGTATTCCGGTAAAGAGGTAATGTTGTAAATAAACATTAGAAATTATGAGGATGTTAAATACAACCCAACGAGGAGAACTGATACAAAACTAATAAAACACATATTATATGCAATTAAAGGTGTGTTCAAGTTCCAGCACAAGCTGAGAGAATATTTAGTCTTGACATGAAATAACTGCCACTTTATCTAAACTTTAGACGAAATAGGTATTCATGCTTTCAATTGCAGAATTAAACATGGATAACAATGAGCGTATGAACGAATGGTGTATTCCTAAAATTGAAAAGCATGTCAAAATAAGAACTTAAGCTATTAGACAAGTTACAATCAAAACTGGTCATACTGATCGTTAGTCACCATGCTTAGATTAGTTTTTTTATGACGAACTATGTTGGTGTCAATTTCGCCTGCAACGAAAGTCTCAGTAAGCGAGACATAGGTATAACAACCGACTGCGGCGTTGTAAACTATTTGTATCAAGCTTATTATTTCAGAAGGTAGAATATTTGAATGATTCATATCTTGTATGCACATACCTTATGTTACGAAGTTTCCGTCAATCATATGTTAACCTGACCTTTACCTCAGTTTCATGGTTCATTGTCTAATGTTAAGTTTTTGTGTTTTTGTGTTTTGGCTGTGTTTCAAGTAGATTAAGCAATAGTTACACTATATTTGGTGTAAATAATGGTTTTAATGTGTATATGTCTGTCTAGTAGGTATTATCTGACCTTGACATCATGTTCATGGTTCATTGGCCAGTTTTTTTTTTTTTTTTTTGGTTTTTTTTTTCAATGATCATAAGCAATAGGTCAATTATATTTTGTGTATAAACTATTGTAAGGTATATATGCCTGTCTGACAGCAATTATCTGACCTGAGTTTCTGTGATGTTTTAGTTAAACCTTTATCTTTAAGACTTTCAACATAAAATCAATAGTCAGTAATGCAGGCGAGACATTTCGGCGTGTGCACTCTTGTTCAATTATCATAAGGAATGGGTCAACTATATGTGGTGTATGGAATAATTATAAGGTGTACATATCTGTGTGACAGGTTTTATCTGACATTGACTTAATTGTCATGGATCTTTAAAATTGCTAAGTTTATGTGAGACTTGTAGTAAAGCCTTTATATTTAAGACTTTAAGCAATAAATAATTGGTCAGTAAAACAGCAAGACATTTTGGCGTGTGCACTCTTGTTATAGTTTCTAACAATAATATCATTAACAATACCTATTTTACTGAACCAGATGCGCATTTGGACATCTTCAGTGATGCTCGAGGCCAAAACATTTGAAAATACATACATATTAAAAAAAGGAACTGATAAACAAAAATATAGCAAAAAATATAGCAAAATCATTACAGAAAATCAGAGCTCACTATGAGGAAGATATAGTCCTTAAGATGGATGTTTTCGAATTGTTTAAACAGCAAACTTTATTAACACAATATTGACAATAATAAGTAGAAAATTGGTAATTACTAAAAAGAATTCAAAAATATCTTCTGAAATGCAAATTTCATCAAGTTAAACAAATTGTGCAACTGCAAGATGTATAAATTGGTCTTTAATATCTAAGTGTGATTTTACCAAAACACTTTTTTTTTTCAACTTGCAGGAAAAAAAAAACGGGTGACACAGTTTTCAAATGTAGTCACCGTTTTTGTTTGGACTACTACATTTGATCTAATGAACGATCTCTGATAGAAATGAAATTCCAATGTTATTTTAGAAGATATTACATAGTAACTCATAGTAAGAATGGTCAATAGTAGCAAATTAGTACTGGTAACAATTGAGGAAAGTGCCATATCAATCAATATTATTATCCTTATGCAGTTTCTATAGTATACTGCATTTTTTTTTACTACCAAAAATGTCCTTTCAGCTGATATTGAATCATTCAACGAATTCTCAACAAACATTTGATATTGATAACATTTTTTTTTTATTGTAGTGTTAATCATTTATACACCTTTAATGTTTTGACTCGACACAAGAAGAGGTCACTACAACGACCTACAAATATCTGTGTCGTTAGGCTACTGCCGCATTGAAGTTAACAACTCTTTTCGCTCATACTGTAAACGACCATTGTTCGTATATACTTGTTTTCAAGTTTTGTCGATGTATTGGCATTAGAGAAGATTAAAATTTAACATTCTTTGACGATTTATTTCCGCGATATTTTCAAATCACGAAATTGCGTAAAATAATTCGGCCCCATATGATAAAGCCCTAATCAAATGGTAAAATCAAATCTCAAACATATCAAATGAATGGATAACAACTGTCATATTCCAGATTTGGTACAGGCATTTTATTTTGAAGAAAATTGTGGATTAAACCTGATTTAATAGCTAGCTAAACCTCTCACCTGTATGACAGTTGTATAAAATTCCATCATATTGACAACGATGTGTTAACAAAACAATCCATGGATCACACAAATCAAATGCTACATTGTTCCGTGTAGCAGAAGATGACCTGGGTAATCCGGGCGACGTCCTTGCCAGTTTGTTCTTTGTATTATTTGTATTCATCATGCATTAAGCTACCAAGTTAATGATGCCCTCGGGGAATAATCCACCAGCAGTAAAGTTTCTTGTAGGAAGAAACTTGACATCGACCTGGTTGTTATACAAAAATACCGAAATCCGAGGAAAATTCAAAACGGAATAACATTAGGCATTCCTACTTAACTTTCGAAAGTTAAAAGAAGATATAGAAAAGAAACATACTTTCTTTATTTTCATGTTTGAGCTATGGCATTTAGCAATGTTAAGACCAGTCATCATTATGTTTTACGATTTGAAATAATGACAGTTTAAAAATCATACAATACAATTGTCGTCGACACCACACATCCATAGTATTTGTTACATGTAGCACATGATATATAATTTAGTATGATGAATGCTTCTTTTTGGGAACGCCATAGAAAAACGATATTATTTTTTGCAGCAGGCACATTAACATCAAATAGAAAGTGTAATGCATTTACACTGAAACCTGTGTTTACCAAACCACTTCGGGACTTAAGATTATGCTCGCTTTTGGCAGATTTTTCGTTTACTCAGATTCACAACACATGAATTTTGATATGCATGGACTTAAGAATAGGTATGGTTTAGACAGGTTTTTTTGTTCAGTTTATGCAATATTCGGTTATGACAGGTTTTAATGTTTAAACTTATCTTCCATTGGAATTCATAAAAACCGTTGTGAAATAATGTCAAATAAAAATGTCAAAAGATGAAAAAAATTTTAACGACCACACTGCTTATTCGAAAATATTTTCTAGAATGTAAATTCATGTTTTTGTGGTGATGACACTTATCTGTACGGACCAGAAGATGTTGATGACAGATATATATCGAATAATGACTGTAATAAAGAGTGTACCGGGGATTCTGAACAGATATGTGGGGGTATATATAGGCTATCAGTGTATGAAACAAGTATGTTAACTGTTGTAAATCATAAGCTAAAATGTAGAAATGCAGATCATAAGGTAAAAATACCAGTGTAATAGACTCTTCACACTGTATATTTTGACTATCAACAGAATAGTTTTACTGTAATAATAGTACTATCATATTCCTGTGTTGGCAAAAGATATACTTTCATGCTTATAAATGTCTTATAAATATTTAGACTGGTTCTTTCCCCTACAACAGACGGGTAGACACCCTAGATACCAGTCAGAGCTAAACAGCTAAAGGACGGGGAACCAGTCTAAGAAATACTTTGCAGATATCGAAAAATAGTCGTACATGGTAGTACATGAACGGAAAACGTATTTTGCTTGCAGATTATGAGTGATTAATGTTAGATTGTTGTTAAAATTTTGGCTTTATCAGAGATGCAAGTTCAAAATTTTAGAGAAAACCAGAGCGCATGTAGAGGACGACCATACAGCTTATGTTTACATTTTCGAATGTTATACAATTGAATAAATGATAAAAGTCTCAATTAAAGTAGGAATTCATAAAATCATACCGATCAAAAGTGTATGTATGTGTAGATTGGAGGCCTTGCACTTCTATTAACGTAAACAATTTCATGTTAAATTTTTGTTCCGGAAATAGAGTAAAAAGACACGGAAGCCATCAATGTGATGTTAAGATTAATTGGTTAAATGGAAATAAATTACCTACCGTGTTCGAAATGTTTTTTTAAAATGTTATAGAATCAAATACAGCTGTATTTATCTGGGTTGACCCATTTAATATATTACATTTACGACGTATGAGTTTGAATGTGTTTTTGGTATCTTTTGCCTCTCTATAAAACAAATTTCACTATTATTGTCATTTTGTTACCGATAAATTGGAAATTATTGTTGCATTGCAGTATTTAACTGATCGTGTGCAATCAATTCGTACAAGGCAATGTATCGGTAAAGGCTGCTGATTTTTGGTAAACTATTTGTACGTTTATTAACAAAGTCAAAGGGAAATTTTTCACATATGGACGTACTTATTCGTCATGACAATTAAATTAATGTACTGTTTGATGACTTTATCATTAAAATGGCAAATATGTATTTTTTGTACTTTTCTCAGTCACTCGTCTATCAAAAAAAGTGTTACTTTGTTAGTTTGTTCAACTTGTTAAGCACAAGTATCACTGTGGCAAATTATCGATCATATCAGTCGACAAGATGGAATGTTTCATAATTTAGAGAAAACACAAATTTATAAGGTTTTAAGTCGATTCAATCCATCCTTATTTTACGTTTGTACTCTACATTATTAGTTTTTTAGTCTTTTATATACAGTATTATTAATTGGCAATCAAATAATGGGTCAGCCAACCAAAGTATGATTTGAAAATCTCTTTAAATTTATTTCCGCAACCTCTAATTTAGAATTCGATGTTGGACAGACAATCTAAACACCTATATAAACATAAAAAACTGCAGTCAACTTAGATTATTCAGGTCCAATTTTTCCATCTCTATGCTTTTAAGGGTTTTAGGCTTTGAACAACGCCACAAAATCCTTAAATATGCATTATCTATGACACAACAAGATACCTATAACATAAATATACCATGTTTTCAGATCTGCAAATTATAATTCGACTATATTTTTTTCAGGGCTTTTACCCTTAGAGCAACATGAACAAAAACAAACACGGTATATGTTACTGACAAATAACATGATCCTTACTGCACCGGCCACTCAAGTCCTGACATCAAAAAGCTAAATTCAATGCGCCTGGTATTGTTCCATATATGTCAGTTGTAAAGTGTTTGTTATTTCCAAAGGGGACGGACATTGTAGTTTGTATCAGAGGTTTGAAATTTCGTGCGAAGGGGTACAGCACATTGAGGGGTTCCAAGTTTAGATGATGAAATGAATGTTCAGGACTTTCAATCTGATCATGAATTCTATATCATTATAAGGAGCAAATCATCAAGTATAGATTTTCTTTCGGAGTGTTATAATGTTTCATGAATATAATGGAAATAAAACGTTATAAAGATTTTTTGGTCATTCACGGCCAAGTTTTTTTTACTTTGGTGCTCTGTAATATAACTTTTCAAGATAACATCTATTTCCCCTTTAGCGATGCTAGATTTTAGAGTTTAAATTAACAAAACAAGCGTTCATTTTGGATGATTGTGATTTCCATTTATCTTTATCTTTTATAACAATGATTTAAAATGAACAAATAGTTTTAATACTTATCTGTATCTCAACTTCTCTGGAGGGCCATTATAATTTTATTCATTAATGTCATTCGTGTTATGTATGTGTAAACTATTCAAAACCA